TGACCTTGAAACGACAGTTGGCTGCTATGGAATCTAGCGATTCTATAGACATTGTCACATCTACTACATTTTGAATATATCTAAGCTCTCCTTAAAGCTCTGCCTATTTCTGGACACCGTCCATATCTTTTTCTACAATCAATCTCTTACTCCTATTCTAAAATAGAACATATTTATCAAAGGTAACATTTGTACTGAATATAAGCCTAAGTGAATCTTTCTCAGTGTAACACAACCTATATTCCTTTACCTCATGTGCATAGCCTAGGAATATGCACCTCCTTGCCTCTGGCTATATCGCCATCACACACATCAATATAAGCAGCGCAACCGAATTCTTTCCGCTTGGTATAATCAACCGGTTTACCTACCACATTTCTTTAGGAGTTTTCCCATTAATTAATGGTGATGGTGATTTATTCATTAACCAACAAGCAATATTCGTTGCGTCGGCCCACAAAACATCACTTAATCCAACATTGGAGAGTAAAGTTCAAGAGCTCTCTCCAATGTAATTTTTTTCATCAGTTTTGTGACACCATTAGTCGTGGTGTATTGGTATTCCACTATGCCTTTTTCTGCACAAAACTAGCCAAGCTCATCCGAAGAACATTCCAATCCTTTATTTGTTCTCAGGCACATGTTCTTCATTCCTATTTGCTTTTCGATCATCGCCTTCCATGATTTGAACCAACTAAGCTTCTTGTTCTTGTGAAGACAAATCTAGACTTTCCTTGAAACGTCATCAATACATACTTGGCATCACCCTTGGACGGAACTTGAGAAGGTCCCTAGAAGTCTGAGTACATGCAGCCTAAAATCTCTGAGGTCTGGTGAATTATCATATCGAACTTCATTGTCCATAGACTATCCGTGTCGCAGTGCTCATGTAAGTTGAACTTCTTGGTTTGGTGACCACCCAGTAGACCCCTTTGACTTAGAAAAGTCATCTCTCTCTCACTCATGTATCCGAGTCTCATGTGCCACCACTAATATCGTGTTTTGACCTGAAACCTTAGATAATCTAGCAGAAAAGCCAATCATCATCGTTCCCTAAAGGAGATGCAATCGGCAATCTATCTTCTCCCGCATCACATTATGCATACTTTAGAGACCTTCAAAACTCAATCTTCAGCGAAGATCTGGTATTCAGACCCGTCAGGAGCATTGAGTAAGATAAGGTTCCCTCCTAGTTCTAATACATGCCTTGCGTCAAAATTTTCATTGCTTCATCGTGTATTTTAATTAGAACGGCTCTTCCATTTGCTACGTTTAGACACTTTGCATTTGTCTCCATCTTAGATAATCAAACCTTGCAACATATGCTAGACTAAGTTATCTTTTTGTAGCTTCTTTTGCCACTCCTTAACAAACAAGGCAAACTTTACATCTTTCAAGGTAATCATAGTGCACTCCTTAAGTTGTGAATTAAGGAAGTGCTCAAAAGAAATGGATGGAGACACCAACAACATCATGCCTTACTTCTTACTAGGCAAGCCTTATTGATGTTCTTCAAGTCTATCATGAGTTTGTTAAACTCATCCAAATGGACTTTAATGGATGTGCCTTCAACCACCCAAAATTGAAACATCATTTTAAGCATATACAAGCAATTGTTCAAATATTTCATCGGATAAAGTGCCTCAAGTTTTGCCCACAACGCTGCAACATCATTCTATTCGGCCACTTCAATTAATACCTTATCGGTTTCTTCCATCATTTATGGATATTTTATCCTTGCCATCCAACACCTTCACTAAACCTTGAGTGTTGATAGGGAACGCATCTTAATGCTCCATAATTCAAAGTTATTACTCCCGTTGAACTTCTTCATCTCAACTCTTGCTTCGGATATAATTGAGAACACAATGTTTCCAAAAGGTGATCAGACAAGCAAAAACCCCAAATCAACTCTAGAAATCCAACCCTTAGATTTGATACTAATTGTTGTGAAATCATGCATAAGCTAACGGATCTTGCAATTCAAGTCTTACATGAGAAGAAGAAATTACTATTGAAGATGACTCGAGTTTAAGCTCGAAAAAGAAACTTTCCTAATTTGAATAGTTTTGTAGGTGGAGTTGATTTCCTATTTGAGTGGTCACATAGTTTGAGTAGGTTTTTTTTTTCCAACTCCTGTCTATATATAAGAAGTGGGTCTTCTTCATGAAGAGTATCCAAGAGGAGTTTGTGCTCATGAATTACTTTCTGAGTGTTTGAAGGTGTAAAAATCTTGTATTAAGATTTTATGTAATTCTTTCATGAGATTGAGAGATTATTTCGTGAGGAATTGTGAGGGCTAAACACTATGTGAGTTATTGAGTGTAATTGGGGGTTGAGGAACACAAAGAGTGTTTGAGTAACTCGAGTGTGGTTGTAATCTTTATTGTATAGTTTGATCAATAGTGGAATTCTGTGTTGTTTTCCCCATGGACGTTAGTCACACTAGCAGAAGCACGTATTTGATGTCCGATTTCTTTCCTTTTTTTGTCCATTTAATTGTTCGATCGCTTTTTTCTGCAACAATTGGTATTAAAGTAGGGTTTTGGGTGAGTTGAAGCAAATTGATGGCGATAAAAGAAGGAAAAGTGAAAATCAACATATTTGATGGGAAGGACTTTGATTTCTGAAAGATGCAGATTGAGGATTATTAGTACCAAAAGAATCTGCACTTACCCATGTTTGGGACGAAGCTTGATTCAATGGGGAAGCTGATTCGGAATTATTAAATACAAGCGTTGGGTTTTATCCGACTTGCGTAGTATTCAACACAGATGATGCATGTAGCAAGGTAGAGCTTGTAGATCTAACGTTGCTCTTTAGCAAGGTGTGTGTTCGATCTTTCGACAGATATGGTGCAAAGCTGGATTTGCTTTATTTGTAATAGAGAAGGTTGTGTCTGAAAATCCTTATGGAGTGATTAAAGGTGTAAATGGAGTTGGTATTCTGATGAGGTCCACAATTATAGCGAAGTTCAAGTGTGGCTTCGAATTGAAAGATGTCAGTGGCAGTTGAGTCCATGAGGGGCTGTGGGAGAGTAGCAATGAAATTTGGATTTAGCTAAATGATTATGACTTGGCTCAAATGTCGTGCCAAGATGGATTCGATCTTTCGACGGATATGGTGCGACGCTAGATTTGCTTTATTTATAATAGAGAAGGTTGTGTCTGAAAATTCTTATGGAGCGATTAAAGGTACAAATGGACTTGGTGTTCTGATAAGGTCCATAGTTATGGCAAAGTTCAAGTGTGGCTTGGAATGGAAAGATGTTAGTGGCGGTTGAGTCCACGAGGGGCTATGGGAGAGTAGCAATGAAATTTGGATTTAGCTAAACGATTGTGACTTGGCTTAAATGTCATGCCAAGATGGATTCGATCTTTCGACTGATATGGTAAAACGCTAGATTTGCTTTATCTTTAATAGAGAACGTTGTGTCTGAAAATCCTTATGGAGTAATAAAAGGTGCAAATAAAGTTGGTGTTCTGATAAGGTCCATAGTTATGGCGAAGTTTAAGTGTGGCTTGGAATTAAAAGATGTTAGTGGCGATTGAATCCACGAGGGGCTATGGTAGAGTAGCAATGAAATTTAGATTTAGCGAAATGATTGTGAATTGGCTCAAATGTCGTGCCAAGATGGAAATTGTTGATGGTATATCTCGAATTTGAGCCCGAAAATGAAATTTTCCTAATTTGAATAGTTTTGCTAGCTGGAATTGGTTTCCTATTTAAGTGGTTACCTAATTTGAGTAGGTTTCCTATTTTGGATCCAGCTCTTGTCTATATATGAAAAGTTTCTTCTTCATGAAGAGTATTTAAGAGGAGCTTATACTCGTGACTTACATCCTGAATGTTTGAAGTTGTGAAAAACTTATGTTAAGATTTTGTGTAATTTTTTCGTGAGATTGAGAGATTATTTCATGAACAATTTTGAGGGCCTAACATTGTGCGAGTTAGTGGATATAATTGGGGGTTAGAATACACCGAGAGTGTTTGAGTATCTCGAGTATGGTTGTAATTTTTTTTTGTGTTGCTTGATCTATAATGAAATTCTATGTTGCTCTACCCATGGATGTAGGGCACACTCACTGAACCACGTAAATCTAGTGTTCAATTTATTTCTCGTTCTGTCTATTTTGTTGGTCAATTGCGTGTTTCTGCGACAATTACAGAGAAATCATGAGAAACAATGAAGACATCAGAGATTTACATGATTCGGTCCGATAGTTGATACCTACTTCACGGGAAAAGCTAGTGAAATTGGTGAAAAATTCTCCTTATGAAAATTTAGCATGTAATAGAACAGCCATCTAATCAGTCGAGCAGCAGCCAAAAAAACAAAACAGAGGTATTGGTCGATCGAGATTATGTATTAAGGGCGAAAAGGAAAAAAACCTGGCGTTAGTTTTGACGTACTGTAATTGTTATTGAGACAATCAATTTAAAGACTATAGACTATATTGGCTACAATTGTAGGAAAAAATATGTGCCCAAATCAAACATCAAACTTGAATTCCGAAGAGCTACGTAGGAACAACGAACACCCAATCCACTGAAAACGCATGATGCAGTATAACATTTTCTAAATTGTGGGTTTTATCAATTATAGACTCAATATTGCATTTATGTAGATGACAGGATGTGATATTCACGAATCCGGGTGCAAAAAAGATGGCTAGTCCTTGTTCATAACTCATGACAGAACGAAGAAATCTGCTTACCTATGAGGACAAGTTTGATTGTCTTGCTTCCGTCTACACAATGATAGGAACCTCGTCGATTCACACACTTTCTTCCAGGGCAACGATTGGTCGGATCTTCGCATTCATCGACATCTGAACAAAAGATGACAATCAAAATTAGTAGGGCTTCGTCTCTTTATTGGGCGTTTACGATTGCATGTAAAGCTACTTCAGCCTCAAAAGAGCTACTTCTCTGTATTAGTACAGCGTTTCGATGTTGCGTATCCAATAATTGGTGTGATAAAATGTAAATGGTTTTACCTTCGCATCCATGTTTAATATAGGGGTTACCGGTGAAGCCCGTATGGCAAGAACACTGCAAAAATGGCATCGGTTTGCGATATCCTAAATTCAAGCTGACTCTGCTGCAGAAATAGGAATCGTCGGAGATGAAGCCACCTTTGTAAATTTCTTGCGCAGCTTGGGAGGAATTAGCTATCCCCCATTCTAGCACCGCTGGGAAATGCCCACTCGCCTCCAACTCATCGAAGTCTATAGTTGAAGGTGTGAACTGCGACCTTTCTCCCAAGAAGGCATACTCGCATTTATTCTCTGCTGTTTTGTTGTCCGGCCGGAAAGTGACGCTGAAAGCCTGAAGATCCGAGGTAATTGTGGTGTGGCAGCATCCGTCGCTGCCCGAACAATTCATTTTCCTAATGATGTCGTGTTGTTTTTCGCATTTGTTTTGGCACCCTATGACAGCAGACATTGTGTTATCCAATAGAGCACATATGTTGCAACCAACAGCGGCGAAGACGTTCCTCGACTCAGAGAAGATGAACTGGCTTCCTTTCAAGCTCACAGGCGCAAAGCTTCCGTGTCCCCTGCAGGTCCCATTTGGTGAGTAGATTATCGGAAGACTAACGCTGATCATGCCGTTCGTTCCATCATGGTAATTGGGTAGCGAGATTTTGAGCACCGTCAAGTTGGCCTTGTTCAGTATGGGGATGGCGACGTTGTTGCTTTCCTTGCAGACAATCTCGAACCACTCACTGAGGAAACACCCGATTCCAATCCCGAACGGGAAGGGAATGGCGATGCCACCACATGTTCGGGTGCAATTACCCTTCACCAGGGGGGGAGCTGCTAGTGATGCTTGCTTGTGAAGCAAAAGTGACCCTAGAAGCAGAAGAATCTGAAACATTCTTGCTCCTGCTTCTTTTGTCAGGAAATCGTGGACTTGTTCGAGGAATGAACGGAAGGCACGGTTACTTATACGCCACTTACGCCTGTAGTCAAGGACCCTGGCTTATCCGAGGATACTTATTTGAGCAGAATTGTCAAAGCTTCAGATCCTTCCTGGAGTAGAAAATTCTCCGCTGAAGTTGTCATCTATTTTGGCGGCCAAGCGAGAATGACGTCTTGATCGGGTTTGCTTTGATGGCAATGGCGAATGTCATTTTCAATCTCACAGCTGAATTTGATAAAGAAACTCATCAGATAAACACAAGATAATAAAATGATGAGACTAGGAGATATTTTCTTTTGTTCCCCGTTGAAATGTCTCCTTTGAGAAAGGCCATCAGTCTCATTTTCAGATTAAAGGACTTTGAAGAGTCGTTCTTCGTTCTGGAGTCACATTAGTACAGGGCTTGAAAGGTGCCGAGAAATGGGGAATTTCGGAAATATCTGTGCATGTCCTCGTTGTTTGTCCCACTGTATTATTCTCTAGCTGACCATGACAGGACAGTGAAACCGAAGCAATATACTGGTTCATACCGAACGAGTAACTGTATATACTATAGCAACACATTAGTAAATATAATTAAAAAAAGGTCATATTTTTTCTTATTAAATTTTCAAGTTCTTCTTTTGATGTGTAGTGCTTGGTGAACGCCACACGGAGGGAGCTTTTGGCCGTAATAATAAAATGGCACGTCAGAATGTTTTTGTAGCTAAATTGGAAGGTTAATAGAGAGAGAATTCATTGCACTAATTTGGTAAGTTTTAGAATTTAATTGGTGGATTATGTTGATTTTTGTCCATTAACGAGCACACAGGGAGCTTTTGGCTGTAACAATCAATTGTGTGGCGTGCTCATGAATTCTGTTGCGGAAGCCAAACGATCGAACAATAAAATTGACAGAATAAAGAATTATACACAAATCTTATCACAAGATTTACGCTTGAACACTAATTCTTCTTGGATGTAATTCACGAACGAAATCAACTGCCAAGCACTCGCAAGCAGCGGCGCTTCAAGAAGTCTTCGCTCTTGCTCTGGACCCATTCACGAAAACCACTCTGTTTTTTTTATCAACAATCGTTCATCAGGGCTCCTCTATCCGAATATTTATATGCATATAAATGTGAGCCCCTTCTTCTTTGCCGACTTCATCAAGGAAGGATAATTCTTATCCTTTTATTTCTTTCTTGTCTCTGACCAATCAGCAAACCCAGAAGTCCCACACGAAAATTGATTTCCGTATATTCCCAACAGAGTCCAAGTTGAACTTTCCTGTTTCGCGCCCAAGACTCAGACGCATATTCGGAAAGCTAATTTCCGAAACTTGGCTTGGATTCTTCTTTTCTGTCCTTTTTACTCAATTTCGGATGTCCGCAAAATATTAATTCGGAATATTTAGATTTCGCTTTGGGCTTAAACTCGAGACATATATTCAACAAATTCTATCTCAAAGAAACTGCAAGTGTTTTGGAATCGTGACAAAGTTTGCTCCTAAGAATTTGTGTCATTTTTTTTTGCAAGATTAATAGAGATTGTTTTGTGAAAAATTGAATGGGCTAAATTCTAAGTTATTGGCATAATTGCAGCTGGGAAACACTTAGAAAGTTGTAACTCGATTGTGATTGTAATCTCTATTTTATCCCTTTGATCTATCTTGGAACCCTGTGTTGCTCTCCAGTGGAGTCGGTCACGCGGACCAAACCACTTAAATATGGTGTCAAATTAATTTTCTTGTTCTATTTATTAAACTTTTCGATCGCTTGGTTTCACAATAATTGGTATAAAAGATAGGTTAGGCTGACTTGAAGTAGATTGATGGTGACGGAAGAAGGAAATGTGAAAATCAACAAGTTTGATGGGAAGAATTTCAGTTTTCAAAAACGCCTATTCTGGACAGGAAGAGAACGGAGACGTTCCCGTATGTTTCCACACGGTTACACCTTGCAAGTCCCGGTGCAGCTCCGGATGCTTGTTCCGTGAGGGAAACCGGAAGAAAAAGAATTTGAAACACCGAGCTCGACATGGTTTTCACGTCTCGTATCTGCATGGACCTAAAACTATGGAGAAAGGAGGATATTGACAGAGACCCTAAGTAGTGTTATTTACGTGGAAGAAGGGTTGTATTGTACGCATTGTCTTGGTACAGCTCTATCACGTCCTAGTATCTCTGAGAATGCTTCCTTGATGATAGTAATATCAAAGCTTGAAAGGTAGACGACACCAATTAAAGCAGCAGCTGAGTGTGACTTCTCCCATTGTTGGGGCCATAACTTTGTCCTCGTCTTTCTCGTGAGAAAGATTTGGAGCGTTATCAAGATGGATGACTTTTTGTCATGGATTCCGTTAAGCACGTCAAGACTGAGCGACAAAGAAAGATTGAATTCGATAGCTTTTAACTCTTGAAAACGGAGTTATATCCGTCTAATAGTTTCTAGTCCACCAGCACGAACGCAAAATTGAAACTATTATCATGAGTAGACCGACTTTTGATGACCCTGCTCTCATATTCCTACTTCTTTTTTTCTCCTTTTCGAAAAGGAAAACCATTTTCAACAACAAGAATCTCTTTTAAAATGGCGAAATCAACCAACAAATTTATACTAAGACGACCAAGACATTTTCTCTTGACAAATGAAATGGGCTTTGGCATCTTTTCAATCTACAAAGGAGAAAGCAAAATCACTTTTCCTAAAGCAAAAGTGGTTTCCTTCATAACTTGTTTATGCGATGTGCGTGTCACGGTCTTCTCCTATTATTGAAGCAGAAGTAATTTTAATTGTTCTTAGTCCAATGCTTTTCATGCTCAAGCAATCAGTAAAAGCACTTAGGAACGTTTTTTTGGGCCCCCCCAAAACGGGAAAAAAGATGTGCGTGAATCATGTGGGAAGTCTTTTGCTTCCCCAGTGAAAGAGATTGCGCCCCATGCACTTGGATTGATTAAATGTGATTCTTGCTTTAAACAAGTCTTGTTAATTCGCTAATGCTCTGGATCATGCTGTGAGAAGTATGCTGAACTCTTGGCACTGTTTTATTTTTTAATTTTTTGGTAAAAATAAATATAAGAAACTATTTATGGTACCGACGAGGGGAGAGAGAGACTATAGAGCCGGTTTTTTTGAAAAAAAATTTAGGTCCGTAGAAATTTTAAGACCAATATCCAAAAAATGTTCAGTCACAAAAAGTTGTGCATTGTGATCATGAGTAGTCTTCCCCAAAGGAAGGACATTATCAACCGGGCATCGCATGTGAATATCTAATCAGCGTTCATATCTGGGATTACTTTTTTTTTTCGCTGGTATAACTTCATATATAGGAAGAGAATTTGAAACATCAAGTTCGATATGATTTTCACGTTTCGTACGTGCATGACCTAAACGTATGGAGAAAGGGGATAGGGGCCGAGTCCCTTAATATTGTAATTTAAGCGGAAGAAGGGAAGAATTTTCATGTAGTATACTCTCAGATGTATTTTTCGATCATGCACCTGTTCATAATTTGAGATATGTTCGAGCTTGATTACTTTAATAAAGTTGACTCTGAAAACTGAAACTGAAATCAAGTCGCAACTCTTTTCGACTCTGAAAACTAACTGGCGAATCGAACTGGCCAAAGGTTGATACAGGCAGGACGCTTGTTCCCAAGAGTACAAGTGCAACTCTCATGGAGTCCTTACAACAAGCTGCAACATTTTCTTGATACATGAACTGGAAAGAACATTCCATCTTGTTGAATAGTCAAAACAGCAAGTTCCCCCGATTTGTTGACTAGTCTACGAGGTTTCTTCCTTCGTCACCCCTCAGCGAAGAGATTGGGTTTTGTCCCGTTAAGAGTTCAACAAGGACCCCGGCAAAACTGTACACGTCTCTTGTATTCTGTAAATTGACTTGTTTGGAAGTACTCACGGGCCTGTTCTTTTGGGTGACAATGCCAGAAAGAGCTGCCTTCACCATTGTTTCACGATGTGTGAATGGCTGCAAATCCGAAGACGTTGCTAAATCCAAGTCCACACGATAAGACTTTCGATCAAAGAAATATCGAAGCTCGAGGACGTCAAGTCCCATCTATATGGAACCAAGTTGCACTTAAACTAACTTAGACCGGCATGGTGGGATCCAACGGATGAATTGTTTATAGTGGCCCCTGTGGTCTTCAATAACGTTGTCCCCTGAGAACTTGTACGAGAACAGTTCATTGACTTAAAAGTCTCCAACAGTGATAGAATAGAAAGAAGATGGGTCCTTTGCTAGCTATTGCGCCGAAGATGACTTTCCTTGGCCCACAAGCTTCAAGTTGGTGTGCCACCACTAAACTTGACTAGGTCAGTGGTCTCGGGCCCACCTATCGTCCACGAGATCAAAAGTTATTGCTATGCCATGATCGAGCCTTTGACAAGCACAAATTGCTACCTTCTGTGAACATATTTATGGACTCTCGACACGTTGGATCGGTTATGTCAACAAGCTTATCTCTAGAGTCTCAAGTGGTGCTGAGCAGCTGTAATCTAAATATGATATTTTGCAGTGGATGCTTGGCTACGCAACCCTTTCATTATTACGATCACTGTTCTGTAACTTCTACGTTAACACAAAATCTTTCACCATTTGATATAATAAGAGTTTATGAACTGGAAATGAAGATGGAGCTCGCGGATGGCCTCCTGTGGAAAAATCCGCACAAAAAATATCACAACGATGGACAAGTACAAGGAAAGGAGTAGTGTGCCATTTGGGCCTAGTAGAACGCGCAGCAAATCAATGCCATTTTTGGGATTTTTATCAAGTGAAACAATACAATTTTCGATGGGAAAAGTACCAAAAAAGTCATGACCCTATTGCATTGGTACAAATTCAGTGTCAAACTTTTCAATTTGACTAATTTAATCTAAACCTTTTCATATTGATATCAATTTAGTCTGTCTTGCCAATTTAGGTCGGAAATCGTTAACGTAGATGTCGGCTGTCCTACGTGGCATGGCCGGCACCGACATGGACATTTATAATAATATTTTAAAATTTTTAATAAATTTTTCCTTTTTTTTGGGCGAGGGCGTCACGGCCCTCGCCCAGGCCGTGAGGGTACAGCCCTTGCCAGAGCTGGTGAGGGCGACCCTTGCCCATGCCGCGAGAGTCGAGCCCTCGCCAGCCCTCGCTTGTAGCTAGTCGCCGGCCATGGCTAAGTACTGGCCACAGGCAAAGGCAAGAAAAGAAAAAAAATAAAAAAAAAGGGAAAAAGGGAATTTTTTTTAAAAAATTATTAAAAATATCCACATCAGCGTCGACCATTCGCTGACGGTGCAACATACGACGGCTGGCGTCCACATCAGCGATTTCGGGTATAAATTTGAGATTTTGATTCTTGATTATGCTTGTTGGTCGGCCACGCTTCGGCAATTCCTTTTCGTTGTTGTTTCTAGTCCAGGCGAATGGATGTGGGCTTAAGGGGGGGGCCTTGGCTGCAAGAGAGGCCCAATCAGGTGGATAGTGAACTTTAGGAAGAAGAATTGGGGGTTTCAGAGAAGTTAGCTCTTATTAAACTTTCCATTTTAAAAAAGGTTTCAAACTTATGAAAAAGTAAAGAATTCACAGAGGAAAAAAAACAGAAACGCCAGAGTTTGAAAAACTACAGAGAAAAGAGAAGCCAATATTGGTCATGATCCCTCTTTCTCACTTGTAGTTTTGGAGGTGATTATTAACCGAATAGAAAAGTAGATAAAATATTGAAAAAACCATAGTTATTGATGTTTTTCAGCAATCGGATCTAATGCACGTGTGAAAATACAATCATCTGAATACAAAAGTTCTTACTCAAAGAATTTGGTATGTGTGAAGTTCGAAACGAAAATGGAAGAATTATACACCCCAAGGTGTGCATCTAAGGGGATCTTATGTTGTCGAAAAGCAGTGTCCAGGAAAGTTTGAACTACGAAAAAGTCCATAAGTTTAATTTCACGATTTTTGTGCTCAGACATAAAACTAAATTATGATCCCTAGGAATTTTGTTGCGATAAGCAACATGAATTGCGTTCTTTAAGGGCAATTAATCAATGGAAATATCATGGCAAAATCAATGGAAATATGGAAAAAAGAGTATCAAACATCTTCGATACTAAAAGGAGGAGTAAATATTGTGGAAAATTACCAAAAAAATCTTAAACCTATTGTAAAGATGCCAATTCAGTCATAAACATTTTAATTTAGACAATTTAGTCCTAAATATTTTGACAATTTGCTAATTTAGCATTTACGGCCAATTTTGGCCGGAAATCTCTGGCATGGACGCTGGCCGTGCGGCTAGCCAGCTGTCACTGATGTTGATAATTTTTGTTATGTCTTGTAGGACAGTTGGCATTTACGTTGGCAATAACCATACAAAATTGGCCTGAGTGACTAAATTTGCAAATTGTTTAAAGGTTTTGGAATAAATTGACTAAATTGAAAGGTTTATGATTGAATTGACATCTATACAATAGGTTTAGGACTTATTTAGTAATTTTCCCAAATATCGTTTATCTACGAGTTAGTCTATGCACGATTGATTTCTATTGTTCTTGTTTTGCTATTGATAAATGTAGTTTGGGTGGTGAGTTTGACATATCACGCGGTGAGGATTTAAATGATACCTTGATCAAAGCAGCCGGAGCATCGGCAGCTGGCAACAATCCCTCTATACCGTCAGCAATTCTGTGTGATCTTCAAGGATCTCAAGATGAACTAAAATCACTGCATTATGCACAAGGTAGATGATTGCAATTTGCATAGTATTTCCAAATTGGCACATACACGGGTATGATAGGACCTGAATAAACTTAAGATTGGTATGACTTCACAGTTTATTGATCCCGAGCACCAAGAATAAGTTCATTACCAATAAATAACTAACCAAAATCCTCCTATCGGCAAAACTAACAAGTTTTCCTCCCTTCTCTCTTTTTTCTTTCTTTTGCTCTGAAAACCGATTTCCATGACAAACACAGCAATATGACTCATAAGAATGAGAGACAAAAATGATCTTCACCACGTCTCA